TGTTTGAACTGGGGCCTTTGATACATAAATAACTGCAATTTCTTTGTATAATTATGCTACTATACATCTGCCACTGCTGTGGTGCGTGATGTGTGTGATGTTCTAATAGAGATGTTGTTTGTCTGCCTTTCAAATGGCAAACATCTAATTCCACAGTACTTTCTGATGTGAAAGCATCAGATGTGAAATATGGAGCTCTTTTTTTTTTTACTGTCATGTAAGGGGAATGGGGTGAAATGATGTGTTGCAGTAGAGCGGGGGCCAGATACTATAGTTGCAAATACAGTACATCTTAGCATTTGCCTGATCTTGCCCAGGGTACCAGATGGCTGGAATTTGCCTTGTAGGACAATACAGCAGTAAATGCCACGGAGGTCAGAGGACCACACACACGGTCATAAAAGTCCATTCAGCATATTTACTTGAAACTAGCAGTGTTTTCCTCATCCTGGACATTTTTTTCAATCCAAGCACATTTGAACGATAGATCATTAAATAGCGGAGTTGAGTTGACTAATATTTGATGCATTGTGTCGGCTAAATGGATGCAATCTCATGAAGTGAATTTATTTACATAGTTAAATAAGTAATATAACGTGTAACAATTAGAGTAAATCAAGTATCTTATAACCTCTGAATCATTTTATTGTGAAGGGATGCAAAGGGGAATTAGATGAGACTTGTGATTTCACAACACCAAATGGCTTCTTAAAATGAATCCGATGGTTTTATTTGTCCCACTAAATTATATTCTCTTAGAAATCATTTACATATGTAGGATATTACATTCATCATTGCAACCGATTGCATATTTAGAAGCAATGTGGAATGAAGACATGGTTTGTAACACAATGCAATACACCACATTTTAGTTACAATTTCTGAGGACAAGAATGAAACCTCAAGCTCAACATCTCTTCATGAGTTTTTAAACATATTAAGACGCAGTTAATACATGTTGTATAACACTTTTTAACGATCGGTTTAACATTAAATATGATTGTTATCGAGCATTAATTAAGTGTTCATTCCCATCAGTTATGGATGCCTCATTGAAGAAGTAACAATCGCTGACAAATATATTAATAAAGCCTATGTGTGGATACAGCTCCACCAGCTGGATGCAGAAAAAGTGTGGGCTAAGTGGTACTGAATAATTCAAAAATGAATATTCTGGATTAATGCATGACATACAAATCCTCTGTTACTGCTGCTATTTATCACTATGTACCATTTAATGTCAGTGGCTCAGGTTTAATCGTTTGTAAATGCAGCTTGTCAGGAAAACACCAGTGCGCATGCTCAAAAGCAGATCGCCGGTAAACCCAGCTGCAATGTGATTGGCTGTTAAGCGCTGTTGTCGTCGTTTGCTCGACAGCTGACAGATGTTAACTATCTCTTTAAGAGAGGATAGTAAGTGACAACAAACAAATGTGGAGTAACTTCTGCAGCTCACGTTTGAAAGTCTGTCGTTTGGATAAAAAGCCACCGCGTGTCACAATAATCGCACTTTCACGTGGAGTGGGTCTCCTGAGAGAAACAGCTGACGTTAACGGCGAGCTTGTCAGAGAGCACGTTTATTGTTGCGTGTGTTATTGGGGGAGGATGGTAGGAGGGATTGAGCAGTAATGTTATGACAGAAAGTTAAGGGGAACAGGTATGTACCCAGTCTGATTATCACTTATGTTAAACTATGTGAAATAGCACAACATTTCAAATCGTAAATCGTTTTTCTAATGTCCAAAGTAGTTGTTGCTCCACTATCTTAAACAGTAAACGATAGATGGAAGGGGTGAAGTAAAATGCTACATTTGCATAGTGTAAAACTGTAGTCTTTGCACCCAACCAATAGAAAAAGTACCATTTAAAGAGTAAGTTAGTTTAAATATGGAAGCATGATACCTTGAACCCTTTAACGGCTCTACAAGACCATTCTAACCAGTATTTACATCTGGTGAGTTTGCAGAGCTAAAGGTTTCCAACGGCTAATCGAGAGTTGCTTAGCACGCAAATAAAAACAGCAGGCGTTAAGGCAACTAAAGAACAGTGTGTAAATAAGCGCCTGACCCCAGCGACCCATCTAACACCAACTCAAGAGTTTACAAATGCACACACACACACACACACACACACGAAGTCTGAACACATCTAATAGAAACTAGACACTGACAGACTTAATGAAATGGGACCATAAAGCACGGTTAACGTCGATCAATAAATTGCTTCTTGACGGTTACGTTCAACTTCCATTGTCATGTTCGCTTTATTATTCCAATCATTTTCTCACTCGTTGGAACTTTTCTCTCAGTCATCAACTGAGTCTGGCTAAAAATCAATAGTCAATTGTCCTTGGCCAAATACTGTAACAGGCACAATCTCTACCAAATTAAGCCGAGTGGGTAATTTATTGGTGCTTTGATTGCCCGGCTGAAGCTGCTGTTAGTCGGGGAGACTCGTGTTATCAGCTGATTTTCAGGTCCTGTCGGATTCAATCAAAATCCTGCACATGCCGCAGAGCTGTAGCAGCTTAAGTTGGACCAGACGTAGAACAGATGTGTAGAGAGGTGATGGTGTGGAACTACTTTAATATTAATACATTTAAGCAGAGTTGGTTCCTGGAGTTTTTGAGGATGCTGCATCGGCCTGAACGCTTCTATGGCAGAGGCCGAAGTCAGGAGAGACTATTTCTTAAAGATAAAACCAGACTATGGTCCTTAGCCAAGTGTTGCCAGCACCATAAGAAAAGCTGTAGTAATGATGTAGTCAATAGGAATGTATATTATGTTGCATGTTGAATATTTTGTGTATTGTCAGATAAGTTGATTAACATTATTTATTTGCTGTTGCACTTTAGTTGTATAACCACATTTATAGAAGGCAAGTTTATATCCTCTTATCTTGTCTAACCAACAGTCCAAAACCCAAAGATATTGATTTTATTATAATTTAAGATGATTGTAATTAGCAAACGCTAACATTTGAGAGGCAGGTTCAATCAAAAGTATGGCATTGTTGCTTGTCATATTTCTTAAATCAATTGTGTTGATGTAGCTGCTGAATAGTACTTTGCCGATCAACTAATTGATTGAGCGACCGAGCGTTTCAACTCTGCTCTTTATGCATCGGCGTTGCCGCTGCCACTGCATGCATCATCGTGACAAGAGAAGAGGGACCAGGTTGACAGATCCTCCATCATTTTCCGTTTAAGTGCCTTCACAAAGGGAAATGTGCAGACGTGTCTATAGACGGGGGGGAATTTAGAAACAGTGGCTGGAGCAAGACCAAGACGTTGCTGTTAAAACTTAGCAGAGCTGAAATGTGGAGGCGACTACAGGCCGGCTCTGGCTCTTATTCGCACTACAAGAACAGGAAGTATAAGTGCAGCAGTGATGTCAGGCTCTCGACTTCTGACCGGCAGGAGAATTCCGAGCTTGTCTCTCGTGTTCGAAGAAAGGAGGAGGCAATCGTCTAATCTGTAGAAATCATTCATGATGCAACAGCTTGATTATAATGTATATATCCAGCGATCAATAAAGCAGAGTATATATTATACTCTGGAATCAATAGTGCTGGGAGTTTTAAGAGAGCGAAGAAATGGTCTGAGATAGCATTGCTGCCTGAATGCCTGATTCCATACAGTTAACGTCTAAGTGTGTCAGTAAGTGTAATGGAATTGAACACGGGGCCATCAGAAGCACAAGAGCCCCCCAGATATCCACTAAGAGTCCATCTTTTCTGCTTCAATAGAGCCAGAAACAAAGCAGGCTGCCGAAGGTGGAGTCTGCAAATCCTGTGGGTCCAGCAAATAAAAACCACAGCAAACAACAATAACCGTAATCAAAATGGGAAAAGACCGTTAATTTCTGCTAGTTAGCATTAGCTGTCATCATTAGGTAATAGAGGCCTGCGGTTGCTGTAAGTGCGCGATAAAATAGCATCCAGTAATACAAAGTACAGTTTTGGTGATTTGAAGGGATTATTACACACAGTAAACTCTACTTCCAATCCTGCTTCTATCTGTTCTGCTTCTATTTTCTTTTCCTCCTGCGTTTTGTCAGTTAAAGTCATGTTATGCAAAACATCTGAACCAAAGCCAAAGAAATTAGCTTGCCCTGGCCGTCAGCCATATTGACTCGGGGGGGGGGGGGGGGGGCTCCCAGTCCCGGTTGTTTTTGATGCTCTACTGTATCACGCTCATGGGGGAAAAAAAAAAAGAAGAAAGTTGAGACACATTTCAGCAAAAGCATGTTGCTGAACTTCTGCTGTCTATCTGGAGCGGGTCGACGCCCATAACAATCCTT